TGTGGCTAAAATAGCCAAAAAGCCAGGCATTTTGGCATGCCAAACGAAGGCTCAATGAGCTTTAACTTTCTATTTTATTACACTTTACTTACTACTCAATGGGTTTCCATTTACTGTTTTACTAAACTTCACTTATTAGTCAATGAGCTTCCATTTAAATAAAGTGTAATGAAATAGCAAGTGAAAACTCATTAAGTAGTAAGTGCGATTTAATTGAGTACGATTTAATAAGTAAAGTTTACTATTATGAATAAACTTGCTATTGAAATATAAACAAAATACTACTCAACAAAACCTCAACGGAGCCAAGGGAAAAACGAAAAAGAAAGTGTGGTCGAAATGGAGAGAAGGCAATAGTAATGGTTAGGGATGGGGAAAGAAATGATGGCGACGGTTCAAGATAGAAAAGGAGGCCGCGGCGATGTTCGGGGATAGGAGAGGAGACAATGGCGGCGGCGATGGTCTAAGAAAGGAAAGGATATTGGCGATGGTCGGAGATGGAAGAAGAGACAACGACCATGGTCTGAGATGGGAAATGAGGCTGCGATGATGGTTGAAGATGGGAGAGTATACAACGATGAAGGTCGAGAATAGAGTTAGGGTGGCTGGTTAAGATGAGGGGTAGATGAAGTTAGGGTTTGCAAGATTTAGTGAATAAAGTTAGGGTTTATTAGATAGAGATAGGGTTTGCTAGAAGAGGGATGGTTGGATGATGAACATGAAGGTAAAATGGTCTTTTTAAATTTTAATTTCACATTAATTAAAAAAAAATGAAGCCCACTCTCGATGATTAATAAGGCTTATTATTAAAATATGATAATATGGATTTTAAGATAAATTGCAAATAAATATTCTGATTTTTACTTAAAATATGAAAAACTTCTTGTGATTTTGGAAATTATAAATACTCTATTGTCAATATATTTTTTTATTTAACAGAAGTAATAGAAAAAATAAAAGGGAAATAGCATATTAGCTGAAGTTATAAAAATACATTAAAAATCAGTAGTAAATTTTACCAATATTAATAATGAAAGTCTTAAACTTTTCATGTATGTGTAATAATTTTTTTGAAAGTACCACTAGATAGTAATTTTTCAAAAAATAAAGGGTTCGTTTGGTTTAGCTTTTAGAATCAATTTTAAAAGACAAAATTTTCAAAAAGAGTTGACAAACTTGTTTGGTTTTGAGATTTCAAAACTAATTTTTGGATTTTTGGGTTTTTGAATTTTTTATTTTTCGTTTTTTGTTGTATTTAGTAAATTGTTTTTGTATTTTTCAATTTTTTAAAATACTTTTTAGGTTCACATAATCTAAATATACTTTTGAGATACACCTATTCTAAATGTATTTTTTGTATTTTAGTCAAATTTACTTTTGGAGTTTTTCAAAAATAATTTTTTAGTTTCAATTCATATTTTATTGTTTGTAGTGAACTTTTTAAATATTTTAATTAATATTTTTCAGTTTTAGATCCACTCAATCTAAATACATTTAAAATATATAAAATTTATATAAAAAAAATATTAAAAAATCACTAAATACTAACAAATATAACCACAAAAAAATTCAGTTTTCATCCAAAAAAATTTTGATGAACTTATTTTTTTGAGCAAATTTTTTTTTTTTTTTTTTAACATAGATATCGATTCAATTAATGTAGCTTTAGTAATAGAGATAAATTTAGAATAGATTTGAAATAGTTTTAGGAATAGAAATAAATTTGGAATATGTTTGAAATAATTTTATGAATAGAGAAAAAATTGAAATAATTTTGAGAATAGTTTTGAAAATGGAGATAAACAAATAAATTTTTGATTTTAGACTCTCAAAAATCGTTTTTGAAAATTCAAACTAAACGAAATTTTAATAAACGTTTTAACTATTCTTTTATATAACAATAAAATTATCTGAATTATTTATTAAAATATATTTTTCACATCATTAAAACTATTAAATGTCTTGATAATTTATTAATAAAAATAATTATTTATAATGTGATTAAAAACTTGAAGAGAGAAAATATAATTTTTAAAATTATAAAAAATAATTTATATTTTAAATTAATTTAGGTGTATTTATAATTTATTCTTACTTTTATTACTCCACTACATGACAAAAACGTTGCAACTCTCCAAATTGTTCGGCTCTGTGCAGAGCATTTCTCTGTTGGAGATTTACCGGTTATAACCGGTTAGCATATTTAAATTCAATGATTCAAATTATTTTACCAAATCTAATGGTTGAAATTTATTTTTTGGCATGCTATCTGGAAGAATAATGTTAAGTATGATGAAGGAATTATCATAAAAAGTTTATAAATATTCTTTACTTTTAAATTATATATTTAATAAAACATTATATACTAATTAAAAAATAAGAATTTTATGAATCATTTCATAATATTTTTTTTTTTTTATAATCCCCAATATTATTCTACCCGAAAACCACTTTCTGATACTGTAGTTGTTTCCTTCATCTTGGTATCCCTAAAACATTATTATTATTTTTTTTTTTATGACTATTGTTTGTGGAATGAAACTTTTATAATTCACAAGCAATGCACACAGGGCTGGCCCTGAGGTAAGATAGGCAACGTGCACGCCTCAGGGTCCTTAAAATCTGTTTAAAAAAATAGGTCTGAAATTATTTTAATCTTAAATAATGTTTGATTACTTATTTCAATCTTAAATTAAGCTTTATTTATTAAAATAAAGTTTATTAGAATAATTATTCCATCATAATATCCGTTTTTACATTTAATTTACTAAAAAAGATAACAAATGAAAGGAAATAATAATTTGGCAAGGGCTCATTGGGTTTTTTTGGCTCAATGAGTCATAAAAGACAGAATAGGCTCATGAGCCACAACAGACAAAACATTCCATCCAATCCCATAATCATTACACTCTTCTCTCACGAAAAAATCAAAAAAGCCAAAAAGCCAAAAGCCCTTCCCAAACTAAACTTTTGAGCCCAGGCTCATATAGTCAAAAAAACTAAAAAGTCAAAAAGACAACCCACTTCCCAAACAGAGGCTAAGGAATGACCATTATATTTAATTCAACTTCATTTCAGTAAGCCAAAGAATACATTATAGCATCAATAGTTTAAAGACTATGTTTGGCATGGGCTTTTTGGCAATTTTAGCCACAAAAAGACAAAGTAGACTAACAAATCAATAAGATAAAAGTCACATTCACACTATAATTATTTTATTTTTCTTTTACAGAAGTCAAAAAAATCAAAAAGTTCATCCCAAACGAGACTTTTTAGCTCCAGGCTAAAAAAGTCAAAAAGTCAACCCCAATCCCAAACGATGGCTAAAAATGAAGGCTTAAACAACCAATTGAAGTGGTGAATTATTTAAAAATAATGGATGATTGCTTGCCTAATGTATGAATTATTTATAGAATATTGTTTAACTATATGAGTTACAATTGCTTCTAGAGAAATAATTTTTTTAAAGTTGAAATTAATCAAATTTTACAATGTCAGGAAAAAGTGTAAATAAATTAATAGTGTTAAAAATTGAAAATGTTCAAAATTTATCTCAATAATTATGATTTACATCAATAATTATAGGAAAAATTGGTGAAACATCCCTCTCCAATTTTGGGTATTAAGAGAGGTCCAATATGTTTTTTTTATTAGCTAATATCCCTCAATAAAATTTCTCTGTGATCATACTAAAGAAATTAAGAAATTTCAAAATTTCTTTGTAAAATTAGAAAAATTTCTCAATTTCGGGACGAAATCTCTTCGTGTTGAGACAAAATTTCTCTATGTCAAATTTTCTATGTGAATATGTTGAGAGACCCTAATTATTATGAAAATATTATATGTCATTTATCTTATAAAATCTTGATATCAGGATCTTAAGAAAAATTCCCCTTAATTGTATCAACTATATGCAACAAATTTGTAGAAGTAGAAACAAAAAATAAAAAAAAAATTAAAATTGCTACTATTTAACAATATATATATTTTAAAATATATATGAAAATGGGAATCTCATTTTCTAAGTTCGCTTTAGCCCCTCCAAAAGTCAGGGTCGGCTCTAAATGTACATCTATCTTCAAAACACAAGCAAATTGTACAATATTTTAACCATTTTAATATAGTAGTTGGAATGGTTTGTGTGGTTTGGGCGGCTTTAAAATATATAATGATAGAAAACTTCTAAGTAATTTTTGCTTACAATTTCAAACAAAAAATTTATTATTCATTCCAAATCTTGACACAAAATTCATAAATTAATTGAATAAGTAATGTTATTCAAAACCATATTTCACAAATTAATATATAAAACAATCAAATTAGAAAAAATAAATATTGCAAAAAAAAAAAACTGATTAGATCAAATTGTAAGCATAAAATAACTGATTTGCCTATTTTTATCATCTAACCTCTAACCTGTCTAACTTAAGTTGATTTACGTAGATGGAGGGTTGATGGTGTTTTTTGCATGCCCGGACCCATGCATAAATAAACCCTCCTTTTTTGTTGCCATGTGAATTTTTCAAAAAAATAAAAATAAAAATCAACTATAGCTTCCCTTGCACCTTCTTTGAACTCTAATGTTTCTACATCTTTGATCAACTTTAGCATAATCTCTTTAAAAAAAGGGTAAATAAAAAAGAAAGAGATATACAACAAAATTTACATGCCCAAAGCACACAAAATTGTTTTGGAATTTGACTTTTTAAGAGTGATTATTTGGTGGCCTTGGAGTATTACTCCACACTATTTATGATTTGACACTCATCAAATTGTTTCAAAAAACACAACAAAAAGTACTTTAGGTTTCAGTATTTTAATCACTGAATATCAAGTTGAAACACTACATGGTATTGCTTGATGAGCAAAAAATAATTTCTCATTTTTTAGTGACTCTTTGATCTTTTATAAGAAATGTATAAAACTTATTTAAAAAAAAAAGAAGAAGAAAGAGTTGAATCTGAACCATAAACTATTTTTTAAAAATAAATTTCTGTGTGTGAGTTTTAAGTAGGTAGCTTTATTGCTATAAATATCATGTACAAGCAAGCCATTGGAGTATAACAAAAAAATCAACTATGGCTTTTAACCTCTCAGCTGTTTCTTTAACCACTCTGCTTTTGTTGGCATCATGTTCATCATTTTTGTTTGGTGTATCAGAGGCTAATTCATATTCATCATCTTCACATCACCATTTAGTGAAGGGACTTTCATGGAGTTTCTATGAATATGAGTGTCCTAAATTGGAATCTATTGTGAGAAAACATCTCAAGAAGGTTTTCAAGGAGGATATTGGCCAAGCTGCTGGCTTGCTTCGCGTTCACTTCCATGACTGCTTTGTTCAGGTAACTCATCATCAACATATCAAACCTGTTAGATGTTAATTTCATGGATCATTCTTATTAGATCTCTCTCTCTTAGCTTTATAAAATGACTACTCACTCATACACCTAGCCCTTCTGAAAATGATTGTATATTCATGCCTTTTTTTGTTTTGTTTTGTTTTCTTTGTTGTCTTATTTTTTATTTTCCATTCAAACATGTGGCGGAAGTTAAACAGTTGGGTTTATTTTCTTTCGAAGGGTTGGATTTTTCTTAAATTTAAATATGAATTTAATCATCATGTTTGGCCTTGTGGAGTTTGTTGCTGGTCTCGTTTTGATGATCTGAATTGTTTATTTTATAAAACTTTTATGTATTTATTCATAAAAAAACTAGATCGATCCGATAATCTTAACATTTTTATTTTATAACATTTGTGTCCTAAAAAATAGAAGATAGAGCATCTTTTTTTTTTTTTGACATGTAATAAAATGAAAAAAGTTACGATTATCATATTAACTTAATTTTTTTTAATGAATAATATACACGTTAATTTTTTTTCCTGAATGATATACACGGATGGCCTTACAAAATAAGTGATTCAAATTATTGAAATGCGACCCATGATGAGTCTCACAAACCCAAACATGATGGTTAGGTTTAGATTTAAAATCTTGAGATAGTTTGGTTTTCTTTTTTCTTCGTGTTTTGAGAACGCAAATTATGAAAGTCTTGAAACACATCATTTTTTGATTTTTGTGGGAAAGCAATTTTTAAAAATTTAAAAACAACTTTTAGTTTTTATTTTTATTTTTTATTTTCTTTGTTTTTAAAATATATATAATTTTTAGAAACATTTAAGAAAGTTTTTATTAATTTTTTAACATATATATTTTTTATTTTCCCAAAATAGAAAACGATAGCACAGAGCAATTTCTTTACTAATCCACAACAGTGTTGTCACTTTTCAGGAATTGTGCTATTTTATCCTCAGTCCATAAGCTTTCTACCAATAACCCACTGATAGGCCCATTCACATAAGACCACATTAATTCTGCAACAAAGACAGAAATTATTCACAAAAAAAAAAAAAAAACACAACAATATCCATAAATGAATAAATTTTTACAAAATTTGCTGGTATGATCCACTTCTAAGAAAATTTGACTGTTTTATACATTACTTGTCTAGTTTTTTGATCGAATTCAATGTTACTCAAAAAATCTCATTTGAGGATTAATTACCAAGTTTCCCATGGGCACACTAACTGAAGAAATGAATTGATACCACTAGATCAAAGACCTTGCCAGTTGAATATCCCAATGTATAGAGTTTTGATTAAGTATATTCATATTTTTTAATACTTTTTGTAAAATTTTCTCCATATGAAACATTAGTGATTTTTTACTTTGCTCCACTTTTTTAGTCATGCTGTTAGGACTTGGTGTGACTTGACATTGCAAGGTCTTTAATTGTTTCTCCATTTTATGACATATGATAGGGATGTGATGGTTCAGTGCTGCTTGAAGGATCGGCAAGCAAGCCGAGCGAGCAAGAAGCGCCTCCGAACCTAAGTTTGAAGGCAACGGCATTTGAGATCATCAATGATCTCCATGCGCTCGTACAGAAGGAATGTGGCAGGGTCGTCTCCTGTGCTGACATCACTACTCTTGCAGCTCGCGACTCTGTTTACCTGGTAAAATCGCCCAACTTTATCCACTTCTCCCAATAATTTATGCACTAGTTCAAATTTTAGTTGGTGCTTGATTTTCCTGTAAGGCTATAGAAGGAACTTGTTCCATTGAAAGAAAGTTGCAAATGGAATAGGGAGACTTCTAATTACATAAACTGAGTGAGAATTTTGAAATACAAAAATTTCGAGCTATAATGGAACAAGGGACTTTGGTTTTTTATTTAGCCATTACACAATATTATCTCCTATGAAGTATGGATACTTCAAATAGGGTGACGTATCTATATCGTATCCGTATTGGATACTTATACTCCTTGGATACTCGCGGATACGTATCGGATACTTTTTAATTATTTTTCTCCAAGTCATGTTTACTTGTTTTATGAAATTAGAATTGTAACATTTCTTGCATAGTAATATAATATAATACAATATAATTGCAAGTATAAAAATAAGAATATTTTTCTAATACTTTGTTAAGTCTTTCGATAAGAAGAGCATAGTGAGTTAAATAATAAAATTTATCAAATTGATGTATCCTAATTATTTCATTCATGTCCCCTATAACTGCATAGAAAGTAAGAATTAATAAGAGAATATAACAATAGTAAAATTAATTATCAATAAATAAATAAGCAAGTAAACTTGAATACAATATTTTTCAATAGTGTCAAAGGAAAAAGTATAGGGACAAGTTGTGAATTGTTCTATTATTGTAATATAAATATATTAAACTTGATATTGAAATGAAATATTTGCAAGACCTATTAAAAATTTAAGAAGTAAACAAGCTACTAGTTTAAATTAATACAAAATTCTTGAAGGTTAATATTTTACATTATAAAATTATATTGTGATTTCTCAACGTTCTTTAGCTTATGTGTAACTCACTATTAATAATTTTAAAAAATATATTTTTCACAAACGTATCCTAACCGTACTAGTATCCTATTTTTTTCGATTTTGTCGTATCGCCGTATCCATATCATATCGTATTCATATCTCGTATCCGTATCTGTGCTTCCTTGATTATCTCGCAGTTAGGAGAACATTAGGTGCAAAAATTTCGAGGTAGAGATTCTCATATTGAATTATACTATCAACGTGAGAGAATTTGACATTTGTGAAAATTTTGGTTGAGGGAAGCATGGTCCAAGCTTGCATATTTTTTTTTTTTTTTGAGTGATGTTTTATTTCCTTCAAATTCTCTCTTTACCGTACGATCAAGTTAGATCCCATTGTAGTGTAAGAATTTGGTATAAAAGAACATGAGAGAAGGGGACAAAACACACAAGATTTGAGTAATGCTACACAAATTACTGAATTACGTGTCAATCACCTTTAAAAAAAATTTGTTTGTTAATTGTAAACAATTAACAACCACATTAATATAGTGATAAATTCAATACACGAATCATGAAAAAAAAAAAAAAAAACGTTTTTTCCTTATTAGTGCTTTAGTAGTTTATCTTTAATTTAATTAAAATTTTGACTTTATGCTACATTTTAAGCGTATTATACTAACGGTTTCTATAGTTTGGGGTTTGTGTCATTTTATTTCTTGTCATTTCAATTGTGATACATTTGAATTTGAATTTTAAATCTTGTTCTAAATAAGGACAATTGAACACACTATTGCTCCATTTCAAGGACAAAATCATCAATTTGATAAAATATAAACTAGTTTGACAAATATAGATGTCAAAAAATTAATTTTTAATTTTTAAAAATTATTTCTACCCACCAAAGATAAAATTATATAAAAATGATAAATTTTTTACATTTGTTTTTTATTAAATTAATTTTAATATGTGTTTAGATGATGATCATATAATGGGTGGTTGTTTTTGTTGATTTTTATATTTTATTTTTTATTATAGTTATCATGTAGTAGATGGTTGTATTTGTTGGTAACATATATTTTTTGATGGTTATCATGTAATGAATAGTTATTAGGCTTTTAATAATTAATCGATATGTTTAATATATGAAACATTTTTAGTTTTGGATTTTTTTGATTTAATAAATTGGTTTAATAATGACATTAAAATTATCGCCATGTTTGACTTTTGAAAAAATAGAAATTAATTTAACAAAAATAAAAATCCCAAAAAAAATTATTTAAAAAAATTAGTGCTACCCCCCCTCCCCCAAAGATAAAATTATATAAAAATGATTTTTTAATTTTTTTTTCAACAATTTAATTTTTAATTTCTTAGAAAAAAATTTCGGAAAATAGATTTTGAAAACCAAACCAAATAGAACAAACTTTATAACCAAAAAAGTTTTAGTATTATTCATTAAAAAAAATGCCGTTACATTTCAAACAACATACAAGTTAACCAATACAAAATAAATTATATGACGATTTTACCTTTGAAATAGACCATTTGTAAAGAAAACATCTTTGATTATCTTTATCAAATATATATAATTTTAAAGTCATGAAATAAAATAACACAAGTCTTAAACTATAAGCACTAATAGTATAATTAACACGGGAAATTATTCAATACTCCCGGAGCACCACGTGTCTATACTCCAAACCAATCACCAATTAGTTAGCCCCATGTTGTCCCCCCATCTCCAACATAAATCGTGGGCCCTTGTGTCTCTCCACCAATCAAAATATTATGGAGCACCACGTGTCCATACTCCAGAAGTACTGAATAATCACCCGTATTGAGTAAGGCCCATAACCCGTGAAACCAACGCAAGGACTTACCTGGCTCGTGGGGGCAAGAATTGAGCACAAGCTGTATTTTTTATGTTTTATTTAACAAGAATTGAGCACAAGCTTGACTGGCAGTGGAGGAGCCACTTTGGGTCCAACCAAGGAAGGACACGTGCCTCATCTCAATTTTATCTTTTATATTTTTTTAAATTGCAGTTTTGCTTCTAAGCTTGGTTTGGGAAGTTGGTTGGCTTTTTGGCTTTTTTGGCTATTTTAGCCTGGGCTAAAAAGTTTGGTTTGGGAAGGGCTTTTTGGCTTTTTGACTTTTTTGACTTTTTTTGTGAGAGAAGAATGTAATGATTATAGGTTGGATGTGATGTTTTGTTTGTTATGGCTAAAATAGCCTATTTTGTTTTTTGTGGCTAAAATAGCCAAAAAAGCCTGAAAATTAGCTAATATCCCTCAATAAAATTTCTCTGTGATCATACTAAAGAAATTAAGAAATTTCAATTTTTTTTTGTAAAATTAGAAAAATTTCTCAATGTCGGGACGAAATCTCTTCGTGTTGAGACAAAATTTCTCTATGTCAAATTTTCTATGTGAATATGTTGAGAGACCCTAATTATTATGAAAATATTATATGTCATTTATCTTATAAAATCTTGATATCAGGATCTTAAGAAAAATTCCCCTTAATTGTATCAACTATATGCAACAAATTTGTAGAAGTAGAAACAAAAAATAAAAACAAATTAAAAATTACTACTATTTAACAATATATATATTTGAAAATATATATGAAAATGGGAATCTCATTTTCTAAGTTCGCTTTAGCCCCTCCAAATGTCAGGGTCGGCTCTAAATGTACATCTATCTTCAAAACACAAGCAAATTGTACAATATTTTAACCATTTTAATATAGTAGTTGGAATGGTTTGTGTGGTTTGGGCGGCTTTAAAATATATAATGATAGAAAACTTCTAAGTAATTTTTGCTTACAATTTCAAACAAAAAATTTATTATTCATTCCAAATCTTGACACAAAATTCATAAATTAATTGAATAAGTAATGTTATTCAAAACCATATTTCACAAATTAATATATAAAACAATCAAATTAGAAAAAATAAATATTGCAAAAAAAAAAAACTGATTAGATCAAATTGTAAGCATAAAATAACTGATTTGCCTATTTTTATCATCTAACCTCTAACCTGTCTAACTTAAGTTGATTTACGTAGATGGAGGGTTGATGGTGTTTTTTGCATGCCCGGACCCATGCATAAATAAACCCTCCTTTTTTGTTGCCATGTGAATTTTTCAAAAAAATAAAAATAAAAATCAACTATAGCTTCCCTTGCACCTTCTTTGAACTCTAATGTTTCTACATCTTTGATCAACTTTAGCATAATCTCTTTAAAAAAAGGGTAAATAAAAAAGAAAGAGATATACAACAAAATTTACATGCCCAAAGCACACAAAATTGTTTTGGAATTTGACTTTTTAAGAGTGATTATTTGGTGGCCTTGGAGTATTACTCCACACTATTTATGATTTGATACTCATGAAATTGTTTCAAAAAACACAACAAAAAGTACTTTAGGTTTCAGTATTTTAATCACTGAATATCAAGTTGAAACACTACATGGTATTGCTTGATGAGCAAAAAATAATTTCTCATTTTTTAGTGACTCTTTGATCTTTTATAAGAAATGTATAAAACTTATTTAAAAAAAAAAGAAGAAGAAAGAGTTGAATCTGAACCATAAACTATTTTTTAAAAATAAATTTCTGTGTGTGAGTTTTAAGTAGGTAGCTTTATTGCTATAAATATCATGTACAAGCAAGCCATTGGAGTATAACAAAAAAATCAACTATGGCTTTTAACCTCTCAGCTGTTTCTTTAGCCACTCTGCTTTTGTTGGCATCTTGTTCATCATTTGTGTTTGGTGTATCAGAGGCCAGTTCATCATATTCATCATCTTCACATCACCATTTAGTGAAGGGACTTTCATGGAGTTTCTATGAATATGAATGTCCTAAGTTGGAATCTATTGTGAGAAAACATCTCAAGAAGGTTTTCAAGGAGGATATTGGCCAAGCTGCTGGCTTGCTTCGCGTTCACTTCCATGACTGCTTTGTTCAGGTAACTCATCATCAACATATCAAACCTGTTAGATGTTAATTTCATGGATCATTCTTGTTAGATCTCTCTCTCTCTCTTAGCTTTATAAAAAGACTACTCATACTCATACACACAAATACCCCTTTAAAAAATGATTGTATATTCATGCCCTTTTTGTCCTGTTTTTTTCTGTTTTTTTTTAATGTCTATTTTTTGATTTTCCATTCAATTTCAACCATGTGGTGGAAGTTAATACAGCCCCAAACTGCAAAAACAGTTGTTTATTTCATTTAAGAGTTAGGTTCTCTTAAATTTAAATTTGATTTAAATTTGAATATGGATTTAATCATCATTTTTGGCCTTGTGGAGTTTATTACTGGTCTCGTTTTGATGATCTGAATTATTCATTTTGTAAAAATTTTATGTATTTATTCATAAAAAAACTAAATCGATCTGATAATCTTAACATTTTTATTTTATAACATTTGTGTCCTAAAAAATAGAAGATAGAGCATCTTTTTTTTTTTTTGACATGTAATAAAATGAAAAAAGTTACGATTATCATATTAACTTAATTTTTTTTAATGAATAATATACACGTTAATTTTTTTTCCTGAATGATATACACGGATGACCTTACAAAATAAATGATTCAGATTATTGAAATGCGACCTATGATGAGTCTCACAAAACCCAAATATGACGGTTAGGTTTAGATTTGAAATCTTGGGATAGTTTGGTTTTCTTTTTTCTTCGTGTTTTGAGAACACAAATTATGAAAGTCTTGAAACACATCATTTTTTTGATTTTTGTGGGAAAGCAATTTTAAAAAATTTAAAAACAACTTTTAGTTTTTTATTTTTATTTTCTTTGTTTTTAAATATATATAATTTTTAGAAACATTTAAGAAATTTTTTATTAATTTTTTAATATATATATATTTTTATTTTCCAAAAATAGAAAACGATAGCACAGAGCAATTTCTTTACTAATGCAACAGTGTTGTCACTTTTCAGGAATTGTGCTATTTTATCCTTAGTCCATAAGCTTTCTAACAATAACCCACTGATAGGCCCATTCACATAAGACCATATTAATTCTGCAACAAAGACAGAAATTATTCACCAAAAAACATCCTGATTAAAACAAAAAAAAAAAAAAAACACAACAATATCCATAAATGAATAAATTTTTACAAAATTTGCTGGTATATGATCCACTTCTAAGAAAATTTGACTGTTCATATACATTACTTGTCTAGTTTTTTTGATCGAATTCTATGTTACTCAAAAAATCTCATTTGAGGATTAATTACCAAGTTTCCCATGGGCACACTAACTGAAGAAATGAATTGATAACACTAGATCAAAGACCTTGCCAGTTGAATATCACAATGTATATAGAGTTTTGATTAAGTATATTCATATTTTTTAATACTTTTTGTAAAATTTTCTCTATGGCCTCGTTTGGGAACAGGCTAATTTAGTAACTTTTTGGCTATTTGGCTAAAAAGGTAGGTAAAAAAAACTTGTATGTTTGGGATGACTTTTTGGCTAATTACGAAAAGATGTGCAAAAAGTAGAGAGAAAAGAGAATCTTTGACTTTTTGGTATGAATTGTTGGCTTTTTGGCTAATTTAGTAACTTTTTGGCTAATTGGTTAAAATAGCCTCTTGCCAAACGAGGCCTATATGTAACATTAGTGATTTTTTACATTGCTCCACTTTTTTAGTCATGCTGTTAGGACCTGGTGTGACTTGACATTGCAAGGTCTTTAATTGTTTCTCCATTTTATGACATATGATAGGGATGTGATGGTTCAGTGCTGCTTGAAGGATCGGCAAGCAAGCCGAGCGAGCAAGAAGCGCCTCCGAACCTAAGTTTGAGGGCAACTGCATTTGAGATCATCAATGATCTCCATGCGCTCGTACAGAAGGAATGTGGCAGGGTCGTCTCCTGTGCTGACATCACTACTCTTGCAGCTCGCGACTCTGTTTACCTGGTAAAATCGCCCAACTTTATCCACTTCTCCCAATAATTTATGCACTAGTTCAAATTTTAGTTGGTGCTTGATTTTCCTGTAAGGCCATAGAAGGAACTTGTTCCATTGAAAGAAAGTAGCAAATGGAATAGGAAGACTTCTAATTACATAAACTGAGTGAGAATTTTGAAATACAAAAATTTCGAGCTATAATGGAACAATTAGGGACTTTGGTTTTTATTTAGCCATTACACAATATTATCTCGCAGTTAGGAGAACATTAGGTGCAAAAATTTCGAGGTAGAGATTCTCATATTGAATTATACTATTAGCGTGAGAGAATTTGACATTTGTGAAAATTTTGGTTGAGGGAAGCATGTTTTTTTTTTGAGTGATGTTTTATTACCTTCAAATTCTCTCTTTACCGTACGATCAAGTCTGATCCTATTGTAGAGTAAGAATTTGGTATAAAAGAACGTGAGAGATGGGGACAAAACACAAATTACTGAATTACGTGCCAATCACCTTTAAAAGAAATTTGTTTGTTAATTGTAAACAATTAACAACCACATTAATATAGTGATAAATTCAATATACGAATCATGAAAAAAAAAAAAAAAAAAAAAATTTCCTTATTAGTGCTTTAGTAGTTTATCTTTAATTTATTTAAAATTTTGACTTTATGCTACTTTTTAAGCGAATTATACTAACGGTCTCTATAGTTTGGGACTTGTGTCATTTTATTTCTTGTCCTTTCAATTGTGATACACTTGACTCTTAATTTTAAATCTTGTTTTAAATAAGGACAATTGAACACACTATTGCTCCATTTCAAGGGCAAAATCATCAATTTGATAAAATATAAGCTAGTTTGACAAAAATAAATGTCAAAAAATTAATTTTTAATTTTTAAAAATTATTTTTACCCACCAAAGATAAAATTATATAATAATGATAAATCTTTTACATTTTTTTTGCTAAATTAATTTTAATATGTGTTTAGATGATGATCATATAATGAGTGGTTGTTTTTGTTGATTTTTATTTTTTATTTTTTATTATAGTTATCATGTAGTAGATGGTTGTATTTGTTGTTAACATATATTTTTTGATGGTTATGATGTAATGAATGGTTATTGGGCTTTTAATAAGTAATCGATATGTTTAATATACGAAACATTTTTAGTTTTGGATTTTTTTGATTTAATAGATTAGTTTAATAATGACATTAAAATTATCGCCATGTTTGCCTTTTGAAAAAATAGAAATTAATTTAACAAAAATAAATATCTCAAAAAAAATTATTTTAAAAAATTATTGCTACCCTTCTAAAAGATAAAATTATATAAAAATGATTTTTTAATTTTCTTTTTTCAGCAATTTAATTTTTAATTTTTAAAAAAAAATTCTGAAAATAGATTTTGAAAACCAAACCAAACAGAACAAACTTTTTAACCAAAAAAGTTTTAGTATTATTCATTAAAAAAAAATGCCGTTACATTTCAAACAACATACAAGTTAACCAATACAAAATAAATTATATGACGATTTTACCTTTGAAATAGACCGTTTGTAAAGAAAACATCTTTGATTATCTTTATCAAATATATCATAATTGAAAAGTCATGAATTAAAATGACACAAGTCTTAAACTATATGCACTAATAGTATAATTAACCCTACCTTTTATGAACTCAAACCACGTTATTGGCTGAGACTTCAATCCAATCCATGGCAAAACAATTAAACAAGATTTTATATTAGGATAATTTAACTAACAAATTGTTCACATGTATTTGTTGCAAGTGCAGTCAGGAGGGCCCGAGTATGATGTCCCGTTGGGCAGGCGGGACAGCCTAACTTTTGCAACGAGGAATGTGACACTGGAAAACCTTCCGGCACCAACACACAACGCCAGCTTCCTCCTTACCTTTGCCGCCAAGAAGAAGTTCGACGCCACTGACCTCGTGGCCCTCTCTGGTGGCCACACTATTGGCCTCAGCCACTGCACTTCCTTTGAAAATAGGTATTTGAAACCAAATTTCAAAATTTAAAGGGCAAATTACACCTGTAATCTTTACATTTTGTCACTTATGTTATTTTAATTCCTACAATTTTAATCAACTCAATTTTGATCATTAATTTTAAATTTTGTGTTAATTTAATCAAATTGATAACGCCATTAGGATTTTCAATAAAAAAAATTCACTGAATTGGTTGTACAATTTTTCATTAAGGCGTGACACATATTATTCATGTCCGTATTTGCCATAGAAAAAGCTGACAATTAGAAATTTGGGATAAAGTTGAAAATTCAAGGTTAAAATAGATCAAATTTTAAGGACTAAAATGATACGAATATCAAAATATAGGGCCTAACAGTGTAATTTGTTAATATAAAATTCAAAGAGAAACTCGGTACAATTTATTCTACAAAAATCAAATTGACACAAGATACAAACAACAATCACTTCGAGTCTATAATTTACCCACATTTTATTATTTATTATAATTTGATTTCTTTATTTCATGACTTTTTCTCTAGTTGAAAGTGACTTTTATATGTTTCTAATATCTAAATCCCCAACAACAACAGGCTCTACCCAACTCAAGACCCAACCGTGGACACAGACTTTGCTAGTGACCTCAAAGTCATATGCCCAACAACAAACTCAACCAACACAACTGTGCTAGATATCAGGACTCCAAACAAATTTGACAACAAGTACTATGTTGATCTCTTGCACCAGCAAGGCCTCTTCACCTCCGATCAAGACTTGTACACCGATGAGAGGACTCGTGACATTGTTGAGAGCTTTGCTCATGATCAGAATCTGTTTTATGAAAAATTCGCATCTGCGATGATAAAGATGGGCCAGTTAAGCGTGTTAACAGGTGGGAAAGGAGAGATTCGAGCGAATTGCTCAGTGACGAATTCGGATAATTTGGACTTGGCATCTGTGGTTGTGGTTGAAGAGGATTTGGAGACCGCGGCAGAGCTGCGGTAAAACTACCTATCCAGAAATATTATCGAGAATTGTACTTGATATTTCTTGATAAAAGTGTGGTAAAAATTATGGATATGTTGTTATGTTTTCGTATACTTGGTTGAGTGTTTTGTAACTTGTTTAGTACTACAACGCTCAAAATAAATAGTTGGTCATGTAGTACATTAGCTAATTTGGTGTCATGGTTATTAAGTGTGGGTAAAAATTATGGATATGTAGTTATGTTTTTTATACTTGGTTGAGTGTTTTGTGACTTGTTTAGTACAATAACTCTCAAAATAAATAGTTGGTCACGTAGTACATTAGCTAATTTTGTGTCATGATTAAGTGTCTTTCACTTTTGGTCACGTAGTACATTAGCTAATTTTGTGTCATGATTAAGTGTCTTTCACTTATGATGACAATTTAGTTGGAATTACGGAACTTCACTGTGATGTTTTTTGTTCTTATCTTTTTTTAATTGACGTAATTTCATATGTGATGTGTGTCAACTTTATCAATAAAGTGTTTTTTTTTTTTTTTTTGTCAACAAAATAAAAAGTATCTTTTACCTGATTATGTAAAACCAATGAGGCTATATATTTAAGTTTGACTCTTATTGGGTTTGTTAAAAAATATATTAAAGTTGATTTGTTATATTACGTGAACAAACTAAATTTAAATACTTTTCAAAACTCGTTAATTTTTTTTAACTCAGCTTCAACTCACTCAAGGAATTTACATGCATAATAAAATTGTATAAAAAAATCAAATTACGCAAACTCAACTTATAAGTAACTCAATTGAAACACGTTTTAGAACAATTCAAAAGAAAAATTAATTAAAACCTAATCACATTTTTCTATAGAATTTTCATGTAAGAATTGACGTTACAAATCGAGAGTGACTACTGTGTCTTGCAGTTTCCCACATCACACAATAGTAGCCAAATTGATGTGTCACCCTCAACTTATAAGTTGGCCCATAATTTATTTATTTTTTAAAAAAATTATTACAATTTTGAATAAATTAAAAAATCTTGGATGTGCATTGCATATCATATGTAATTCTACATAAAATTACTTAAATTTTTATGAAGTTACATAAGTAGTCTCACAAAAATGCATAAGTTCAATACAAATTCGTGTAATCACATAAATTTTCATGAACTTACGAAAATGTGTTTATTTGTGCATTTTTTTGTGATCACTTAGGTAAATTTATAAAAACTTACATAATTTTATATAAAATTATATAAGGTGTGCCCAACGGATCAATTTTCTTAAATGCACAATCAACTTATTGAATTGATAATGATCATAAAAAGCCATAAATCACATGTCATGCTATGAAGAAAAATGTGGTTCACATAATAGTCAATTCACATTATCTTAAAATATAGCAAATGCATGTCTTTAGTCTAATTGTATTATCTTATGGGTAACATTTTTGTAATTATCCAGTTGATTAAGTAACCTTGGAAAGACCTTTTAGCCACAAGGTTTTTCTAAACTCCACCAGTTCCAAACTATATCACAGATAGAACTGTAGAGAGAACGAAACCTACCCTTCATCTTGATATGGCTTTCTGGAATTTCGAGGCATTAAAGCATTGACTATTTTTTGTGGATTGAGAATTTTTTAATCCACAATCAATACACATCTATCTTCCAAACCGGTGAGTTATACAATGGGTTGTTTTAGAAACTTGGCTAAAAGTTAATTTTAACTTCTAGTTTATTTTATATCATATCATTTTTCTATCTTTTTATACATTCTTTAAAAAAAAAAAGTTAGTAAAAGTTAAAAAAATTAACTTTTAACCAATTTTTCAAAACAAGCCAATATTGTAACAGTTTCAATATAGTGGTTGGTTGAATGGTTTGAGTAGTTTAGGACACTTGACGATATAGGGTAAATTATATTATTGCTTCTTATATTTTGTGTGTGTCATTCTAGTTTTTATATTTTCAATTGACACAATTTTGATTCTTAATTTTAAATTTGTATTAATTTGGTCTAATTGATAATGTTATGCTTGGTTATCGTTTTTCAAAAACACTTTTCAGAAAATTTTACTTTCTTATTTTCCGTGTTTTTTTTGTTTTTATTATTTTTTTTAATATTTAGAGCAAATTTTTTAATTTTTAGACATACCTAACATAAATATACCTAAAAAGTAAAAAAAAATTGAAAAAATCTTTTAAAAATTCACTAAATACCAAAAATACAAAAAAAAAATACGAGAGTTCAGTACATTTTTTATATTTTTATGTATTTATTAATTTTTAAAAATATTTTTTCACAAATTTTTTACTTTTTAGATACATCTAAGTAAGATGCATCTAAAAACGTAAAAAAAATATTTAAAATTTTAAAAATATTCACTAAAAATAAAAAAACACGAAAACTAAAAAACTCAGATTTCAAAAAACTTAATTCAAAAAACCCAAACCAAATTAGTTGAGATAAACTCACTGAGATTAGTAAGTTTATAATTTTACTTTAAAAAATATGACGCATGCCACTTATATGCATATTTTTTATTAAAAAAATGCTAAAAATTGTAATCAATTAAATTAAATTAAAACAAAATCATAAATTCATGATTAAAATTGAGCCAATTAAAATTATAGGAATCAAAATAACACAAGAACTAAAGTATAAGAACTACTGCCGCAATTTGCCTTAAAATATATAATGATAGAAAACTTAAGTAACCAAACTAACTAATTTTTATTACAATTTCAAACAAAAAATTTATTATTCATTCCAAATCTTGACACAAAATTCACAAATTAATTGAATACATGATGTTATTCAAAATCATATTTCACAACTTAATATATAAAACAATCAAATTTGAAAAAAAATAAATATTGCAAAAAGAAAAAAATGAGGGGTGGGTATTACCCAATTGTGCACATTCATATAAGCATATAAAATAACCGACTTACCTATTTTTATGATCTAACTTCTGATCCGTCTCTTAAATCACTCACTTTCTCAATTCATACGGGTTGATTTACGTAAATGTAAGGTTGACTATGTTTTTAGTACGCCCGGACCCATAAATAAACCATCTTTTTAAGTTGCCATGTGAATTTTTTAAAAAATTAAAAATTAAAATAAAATAAAATAAAAATCAACGGTAGCTTACCTTGTTGCTTCTTTGAACTTTTTCTGATGTGACTTGCCAGTAAATCTCAATCACACAATATAGCACTCTAGGAAACTTTAGGAAAATTTCACTCTAGAGGATCCTTGGTGCATAAATAAACCATCTTTTTATGTTGCCATGTGAATTTTTTAAAAAATTAAAAATTAAAATAAAATAAAATAAAAATCAACGGTAGCTTACCTTGTTGCTTCTTTGAACTCTATGGAAATGTTTGATTGGAATGATTAAAGTATGGGATTAGAATTATTAATCCGTCGGTCCAATTATCCTATGTTTGTTTTGACATTTTAGTTTAGGATTATTAATCCAACAAATTTGTAAGACTATTAGTAATGGGGTATGGGTGGGATAGTGAATACCACACTAATTTAATAAGATTATTAATACCTCACTATTAATCTTATGAATCAAACATGACCTATATGTTTCTCCATCTTTGATCAACTTTAGCATAATCTCTTTTAAAAATAAAAAATAAAAAAAGGTAAATAAGCAGCCAAAAAAAAAAAAGCAGAGAGATATACAACAAAATTTATATGTCCAATGTACACAAAATTGTTTTGGAAATCGCCTTTTTACGTGTGATTATTTAGTAGTTTAGGAGTATTGCTCAATTATTTATTATTTGACACTTGTCAAATTGTTCCAAAACACACAACAAAAAGCACTAGGTCTCCCTGTTTTAATCGCGGAATATCAAGTTAGAGCACAACATGACTTTGCCCGATGAGCAAAATATAATTTTTCATTTTTAGTAACTTTTTAGCATTTTATGAGAAAATATTAAAAAAATATTAAAAAAATAATTGACTTTTTATAATTACTTTTCGACAAAAATGCGTACTTCCCAAAATAGGTAACACTTAGGCCAAGTTTGGCATTTGCAAAATAATCCATCTTTTTATCTTTTTATCTTTTTTTCATCACATCACATCTCTACTTTTCTGCACATCTTTTCATAAAAAGATAAAAAGTATACTTATTTAAGTCATCCCAAACAACCCTTTACAAGGCAGAAGGCTCTCCACCTTACAAAAAAGCAAGTGAACCGATCTTGGGCAATAATCACTCACAAATCCGAGAGGTTAGACCAATTAAATAAAAAAATCCCTTCACGATATTAATCAAAGACACAAAACCAAAAAATAAAAATAAAAATTGATTAAGCCCCCATCGCTCGAGGTTTTGAACATTTTTCTTGAGTTTATTTTATTTATTTATTTTTTTTTTGGAAAGGATATGTGTTCTTCAGGTTCCCCCTCATCACATTGGGCCGATCATCTTTCATGGATAGGTTGTATATATTTGGATTATAAATTTAAGTAAAAATTTATGGAAGGAAAATAAAAGATGATGGATGTGAAAAAAAGGAGGGGGGGGGGGGGGGGGGGGGAAGTATACATTTCATTCAAAATTTTCTTTCTTTTTTTTTTTTTTTACACAAATCTCTACATATTTAAGATCCGAACACAATCTCAAAGGAAATGATACGCATCCTCCCACAAGAGTATCACTATCTTCTATCGCGGCAAAATCTTTTGAAACATTGCCTTTGATAGAATAATTTGCTTGTCTATTATTATTTAACTCTTTGTATTGTGATTTCTAGTTCAAAAAAAGGCGAAAGTTTGTGTTTTCCTAACGTATTTATGAAAATTTTCTTCAAATTATTAAAGTTTAACCATTTAATTTCTTTAAATATCTATCCTTCTTTCTAGTGCCCTCCCAATCTATTTGGTAATTAAAGTCAAAATTCATTTCGTTTTCACAACTAGCAATTATTTAAAGATTTAGTTGTAAAGTCATGAATTTCAATCAAACTATATGTAAATTCAAAAGCGATCTATCAAAAAAAGAAAAAAATATTTTGTGGAGGTGGAAATGGAACACTCCTTTGGTCTAAACAAGCCTTTGATCTTCCAACTGTCACCTGAGATAAAAATAAGATTTTGGACGGTAGTGTCAGAATTAACACTCTATCGGACAAGTTAGTCCTTGTATTCTAGTTGTTACCTGAGATAAAAATAAGACTCTGGACAGTGATGCAAGAATTAGCACTCCAACGGACAAGTAAGTACTTGTATAAAGGTCGGTCTTTTCTAGTTTCTTGGAGTAGAAGTTTTTA